GCAGACGGCATCCTCAGCACAGTGGAGAAGATCTTCAGGTAGGATTGTCCAATAATGGTGACACAGAATAAGGTCACAAGACTCAAAAATACAGTGACCCCCACCTCTCTGATATACTCATTTGAACAAGAGAGTTTCAGGAGCTGGGGGATGTCACAGAAGAACTGGTGAATGACATGGGAGCCACAGAAGTGCATGGAGAAAGTGGCAGTTGTGTGCATGAGTCCAGAAATGATCCCACCAATCCAGGCACCTAAGACTCCGTGGACACACTTGCTGGCGTCCATGATGATGTCATAGCGCAGTGGAAAGCAGATGGCCACGTAGCGGTCATAAGACATCACCGTGAGAATGGACAGCTCAGCACAAGCACAGAGAACAAAGGCAAAACACTGCACTATGCACTCCCCCAGGGAGATGTAGCCACTGTGCATGAAAGAGGTGTAAATGGCCCTTGGCACCGTCACGGAAATGTAGCACAGGTCCAGGAAGGAGAGATGTTTCAGGAAGAAATACATGGGTGAGTGGAGACTACTATACATGGAAATTGCTGTGATAATAAAGATATTGCCCGTTAAAGCCACCATGTATAAGACTAAGAACAGAAAAGCAAGTAAGATTTCTAGCTCAACCTTGTCTGAAAATCCCATGAGAAGAAATCCACTCATAGTGAAATTAGCCATAGTCCTTAATTTCCCAGAGATGCTGGCTGCAAGACAAGATGGCATCATTGGAAATGTGTTATTTAACCTCCTATACTACTTTGGAGTCAATGAAGTTAGGCATACATTACTTGAAGAAACCACCACCCCATCATAAATATACAAGTAGTAGCCTATAGTTTAAATGAATTTCCCACACAGTCACAGAAACGTAGCCCAGGAAAGTAATTGCTTAGTTATTGCTCATTTTGTGCAATGAAAACAAAAATAATGTATGTTCATAATAAATAACATGCATTTTAAAATGTATAATATCGTTAATAGGAATATAGAGCTTTGCATTTTGATTTATACAGGTTTATACAGTTTATATACCCACTTTAACAGTACATTCGCTACCTCTGCTTTTTTATGAAGCATTCTGTATGTTTATATACCTTTCTTACTGCATTGGGTTTATTTTTGCACTTTTATTATTTTATTTCTCATAGGAGAGGAAAATTCCTCATGTTTTTTCTTCTAACTAAAATTTATGCTGTCAATAAATAAAATTGTGTCAAAAAAACCAAATCGATAGTACCTATGCAATAAATCTGATTTATAAATAACCATTATCAATAATATAAAATGTCATGAAACATGAACAAAGGTTAATTTCCTTAAGGAAATGGAAGATAACAAACCATTCCCAAGTGTGTTTTTATTAAAAAAAAAAAAGGATAACTAATACACACATGAAAATATCATTTTCCCATTATGGATATAAAGAAAATGTACAGAAAACTATGGAATATAATTTTGTACCCTCAAGACTTATTAACACTTAAATCTAAATACTCAGTATTATTATGAAGAAAGA